CCCAAAAACCAGGCGCCCCCCCGAGGTATGCATGTAGTAGGAGGGCGCCAGAAGTAGGAGGCCCGATCGGCAAAAAAAGAGAAAGAAACGAGGCCCAATCGGCAACAGCGATGTCCGATCCTAGCGGCCAGCGATCGCGAGATCGTTCCCATGAAACAGCGAGAGATCCTCTGGAAAAAAAGAAAGATAGCGAATTAAAGAGCAATCAGCGCCTGGACGTGATTCCCTTCCTGTTACGTTCGACGCCTTTCTTCCATCACGAAGAGTTCCCAGGTCCCAGCCCTACGCCCCTACCCGCTAGCCGCCGACGCTGTGCACGCACAGACGCACTCCGACCTCGCCGTCCCCTGGTAATTTCCTTTCTAATTTGATTATGTTGGTCGTTGTTTTCAGTTTTGGGGCCTCCATCTTCACCCCAGGGCCTGCTTCACCCTCCTTTGGTCTTTTCTCAATTGCTCTCCTCTCGGCAATCTGCAGACTCTAGACAGGTACAGACTACTGAAGTTTGATCGTCAGGATTCTGGACATTAGGTATTGAGGTATATTATTCATACAAAAAATTCTTTGGACTTTGGTTTACAGCTAGCACCGTTCAACAATTGATTCAATATTATTTTTTCAGCATTGTGTTTGTTCTCATGGCGCCCAACAAGAGGAACTATCCATCGGGTAGCCACAAAAGGAAAAAAAAAGGAGAAAGAGAATAAACTTATAAAGTCACAGCGCGGAGGTATTCGCAATTTTGTCATGCCAAGTGATATTGGTGCCTGTATTACTCCGCCGGACCCAGCTGATGCGTTGGCGATTGTTGCCATTGTGGAAGAGCAGCAAACAAATGAAAACTCGAACTCTAATCAGCAAGAAGAAAATATCAACTCCAACATCGGCGATGACAATGTAAGTGGCTCCGAGAATGTAAGTAATTCGTCGGATGCACATGCCCAATCTGCTAGTGTTGATGAACAACCAGTTTATACTGCCGATATTTATGATCCAAAAAACTGGGATAATTTTGATAATAAAGCAAGAGATATCTTAGTTGAGAAAGGGCCTACCGGAGAGGAAAAAAATGGAATACCATGTAGATGAAACAGGAAGACATTTTTCGTATGCTCATTATCATAGAAAATTAAGCAATGGAGAGGAACATGATAGGAAATGGCTAGTTTATTCAAAAAATGTCAATAAAGTTTTTTGTTTCTGTTATAAGATCTTCAAGTCTAGCACCAACAGGAGTCAGAGTTCCTTAGCACATGATGGACTAGGACATTGGAGGCATATTAGTGAGAAGCTCAAAGAACATGAAAATAGCATTGAGCATATTAATAACATGAACAAGTGGAATGAATTGAGAGTTAGACTGAGAAAACAGGAAACTATTGATAAGGATTTGCAACATCAAATAACAAAGGAGAAAGAACGTGTCAGGCAAGTTCTGTTAAGAATAATAGCAGTTGTGAAATATCTTGGTAAACGCAACTTGGCTTTTCGTGGAAGTAGTGAGCAGCTTTACAAGGATGATAATGGTAATTTCTTAGCTTGCATTGAGATGATTGCAGAATTTGATATGGTAATGCAAGATCACCTTAGACGTGTTGAGAACAAGGAAACCCATTATCACTATCTCAGTCATAAAATACAAAATGAGCTGATATCTCTTTTGGCTTCTGACATCACATGTTCTATCATAAAGGTTGTTAAAGAGGCCAAGTATTTCTCTGTTGTCCTAGATTGTACCCCTGATGTTAGTCATCAAGAACAAATGACCTTTTTAGTTCGATGTGTTAATCTGTCTGATGGCAAAATAAAAATTGAGGAGTACTTTCTGGGGTTCTTGAAAGTGGATGACACTTCTGGCTTAGGGATTTTCAAAGTACTGCTTGATTCTGTTGAGTCTTTTGGCCTAAATATTCAAGATATAAGGGGTCAAGGATATGATAACGGTTCTAATATGAAAGGAAAATACCGAGGGGTACAATCTAGGTTACTTGATATGAATCCAAGAGCATTATATATGCCATGTGCTTGTCATAGCCTAAATCTCACTCTCTGTGATATGGCAAAATCATGTGAGAAAGCTGTTTCATTTTTTGGAATTGTTCAACGCATATATGTATTATTTGCTGGCTCTACAAAAAGGTGGAATGTTTTGCTTAAACATGTTCCTAGTTTGACCGTGAAATCATTGTCCAATACTCGTTGGGAGAGTAGAATCAAAAGTGTTACATCAATAAGATATCAAGCCACTGAGTTAAGGTCAGCTTTGTCTGAGTTACGTCATGCTTCTGACACTGATCCTAAAGATAAAAGTGATGCCAAAAATTTATTTGATGCACTTGGTCGCTTTGAGTTTATAGTTGGTATGATTATCTGGCATGATGTTCTATTTGCTGTAAATAAAGTTAGCAAGATGTTGCAATCGTCAACCATGTGCATTGACTCCGCTTTGAAGCAAATAAAAGGTATAACAAAATATTTTGAGAAGTACAGAGATGAGGGGTTTTCTTCAAGTCTGACCATCGCTAAAGGTATTGCAACTGAAATGGGAATAGAGCCATTGTTTCCAGTGAAACGTCATGCTAAGAGGAAGAAACAGTATGATGAAAGTGATTGTCAAGAAGAAATCTTGGAAGCTGAGAAGGCTTTCCAAGTTAAATATTTTAATGTTTTGGTTGATATGGCGATCACTTCTTTGAATGATAGATTTAAAGAACTCATGGTCTTTAAAGATATATTCGGATTTTTATTGAGCTCGGGCACTCTCACGTCATTAAGTGACAATGAACTTGAAGAATGTTGCACAAAATTTGCAGAAACTTTCTCTCTTAATGGTTCATCTGATGTTGAGGTATACGATCTTATTTCTGAATTGAAGATTATGAGATTCACTTTGCCAGATGGCGCAATGTCTGCTATGGAGATTTTCAGGCATGTCAGAGAAGTTGATTGTTACCCCAATATATCCATTGCCTATCGCATCTTATTTACTGTGCCTGTGACGGTCGCATCGGCCGAGAGAAGCTTTTCAAAGTTGAAATTATTGAAGAATTATTTGAGGTCAACCATGACTCAAGAGAGGTTAAATGGTTTGGCCACATTATGCATCGAGAAGAAATTATTGGATGAGATTGACATCGACCCTATCATAAGTGACTTTGCATCGAGGAATGTTAGAAGAAAATTTTAAGGTATTATGTATATTTTTTGGATACACATACAGATTTTGGATTTAATTGTTACTACTACTACTACTACTACTAATAATAATAATAATAATAATAATAATAATAATAATAATAATGGCTTGTATATTAGGGCCCCCCAATTTTTAGTTCGCCCCGGGCCCCCGAAATCTCAGGACCGGCCCTGAAAACACCAGGAACGCAAGGAACCCTCGGAGGAGAATGCATCACCCAGGATCATCCAAAGTACGGGCCAAAAACGGTGCGCGAAGCAGATGCTCGAGCAGCAGCAGCTGGAGCGGAAAAGGGTAGAAGATCCATGGAATCACGCAGCGAAAGTGGAAGAGACGGAGAAGGAGACGCCCCACACTTTCAACCAAACCAAAGCAGCTTTAGCCTGCCATGTTATCACGTAGCAGAGCGGAGCGGTACGAACGGATCCGCGCTGCTGCAACCAGCACTGCATGCGCCCTCCCGGGACCAGGCCTAGGCCTCCTCTCATCACGATCGAATCGAAACGCCAAGGGAACGGAACTGAGGAGGAAAATCGAATCGAACACAGCAGAGAGGGACGGGAATCCTCGCACGCACACATGCATGCATGTAGGCAGGCAGAAGAACGGCCAAACAATTCGCACGCATACGAACGCCAACGCCCGCTGTGCTCGTCGGAACCACTCACCATGGACGTGGAGACGGCGGCCGGGGGGCCGGGGAGGTGTGCCGCGCTGGCTATGTTGCTCCTCCCTCCGCGCACTTCTCCAGCGCCGGTGCGGGGATTATATAGGAGTGGCTAGGTAGGATGGATGGACGCGTGTGTGACTTGTGACGGGGAGGGAGGGAGGGAGGGACGGACGGATCGCGTGCTGTGCGGTGCTCGTGTGCGTGGAGGCGGCGTTTGCCCGAGGAGATGTAGCGGACCGACTGGAAGGGCTATACAATGCAGTGCAGTGCAGTGCCAGCGCTGCCATGTGCGCCGCAGGGCGGAAGGAAGATGGTGGTGGGCCACTCCAGTCAGCGAGTCACCAAGTCGCAAGTGCGCGCGCGGCCGCGGCGCAGCTACTG